CATGAGATTCTCTCTCTCTCTCTCCTTTTTTTTTTTTTTAATTTTTATTCGGGAGAAATTAAGGGGGGAAAAAACACATTCTAGGTCTTGTATTATTATGTGACCTATAATTTGTATCAAGTTTGTCATTATTAGGAATTTTTTGTTTAAATTATATCGCACCACAAGTGAACCATCTACGAAGGCATTAAAATGATAAATGGCACGTACACGTGTAATCCAATATAAAAATATGTCGAGATGCACTTGTACACTTCAAAAGGAGACGTGATGTTACAGTCCACAAAAAAAACCAACCCATAGTTGAACAAAAAACTAAAAATAAAGAAAAACTATGCTGTATGCTCCCAATTTGATGTCGAATTTCAAAAATATACTCTGCCACCTTCTCAGTGCCTTCCCTGCTCATACATTTTTCCTCTTTTCTGACACTTTCATATCTACTTTAAACTTCATATTAGTGAATGTTTGCCTCTCCATAGAAATCTTGGCAAAAACAATGACAAAAACTGCATGATGCAGAACTATGCAAACAATCGACATCATCAGCTGAGTTGTTTTCTTTCTGGGGTGAGTAACGTCTAGGTAATTGAGAACTCTGCTACGAAGGCCTAAAAGAAGGCAATGGCTTTAGGAGACCTTTGGTGTCTTGCCGTAGGAAATTCGCTAGTTTGAGTATTCATCACTGAATCATGAGCATTTTTACAATGATTTTTTCCTTTTTTTTTTTTTTTTTTTTTTTTTTTTTTTTTTTGGCTATTGTGTATGGACCACAGTGGTATGGTGACACGTAATGGTGTTATAGCATGTCAAAGTCCTTGGAAAATCAAATTCATATTTATGTGTTATGGATGAATGAGAAATTAAAAATTAGTGCTGACTGCAGTTTCAGTCGTTTTAATTTTGGAAACCCAGTTGATTTTACTACATTGTTACTTTGCGATTCCAATATTTTGAAGCAAATTAAATATCAGTCCAATTCGGAATCATGTGGAAATGAGGAGTCTTGGTGTCCTATCAGTGGCAATGATTTGAACTAGAGAGAATGCTTATCTACGGCAATATCTTGTCAACAACTACTGAATGAGAGAGAAGGCTAGTAAAGATGTTTAGCACGTCGTTTGAAAACGCATATCAGGGTCCTTTGTTTTTTCATTTCCCAGAGTTAGTGGTGAATTCGTAATTCCACCTATTTTACAGTGGCATGTGAGTCCTTTTGCACAGGTTGAATCAACCTTATTTGATATTCATGTTGGATGCCACGTTCATATGTGTTCATTAATTAATAGCCTTTTAGATGACTCATTGAATATATGATATAATTGGCAGAAAATATTCATATGTTAACCAAATTGATACAAATTGCCACTCCAAAATTGAAAAGGCCTGCAAATTTCACGCTTTTTTGAAAGTTTTCCCTTTTTCATAATTAGAACCTGTGTTCTAGTTTATTAAATTCACAATAGTGATAATAGCTGGGCCTTATAGTACAAAGTAAAATATTTTGATTGATTTATACCTCTGGTTTTACAGGACGCAAGGGGTTATGGATGGGAACTTAATGAGAGAATTGATTTCAATTGGAAGAAACTTTTACTCAAGAAGGTAAGTAGAATATATTGTCATTTGTTCTTTTACATGTTAAGGGCTGTACATTATTTGCCTTACAGAAACATCAATATTTTCAATTAAGCACAATTGCATTTTTCCGAGCCATCTGTACAGAAATAAGGGTAATGGATACCTCAATTATCAAACATTCATTTATAGTTTAGAAAGGATTAAAGAGGCATTAGAGTTTGAATCTAGTTTAGAATTATGATTAGTTCTTTTTTGGGCAACAGGCTAGTTTTGACACTGGGGTTTTCTTTTTGAAGTTTCGAGAAATACCTTGCTAATATAAAAGAATTAATCGTGGTTTTATGTTCTACTTGATTTTGGGTAAATATCAATATCGTGATCTCGATTCAATTAATTCATTTTTGTCAATGTCATCTGGCTCCTGCTAGCATGCTGATAATAATTTATATTGATGTTAATGTCATTATTTTTGTTCTTATCATCTTTTGTTTTTAACTTCATCATTGAGATGATCATTAATGTTTCTATAAGCGTGTTGATTATTTATTGGCCCCCATGTTAGTGGTTTCACAGAAAATTCCCCTCCCTAAATAGATTTTTATGGAAAAGGGAAATGTGGATCTTTGTAATGTAAATTTCTCTATTTACACTTTACAAGGTCTATCTGAACATTGACTACTTTAATGACATTTTCTAAATTTTTTATAATATTTTTCTTTATATCCATTTTCATGTTTCATCTTTATTACTGATGTGCAGACAGAGGAAATAGTTAGATTAAATGGAATCTATAAGCGGATGCTTGCAAATGCTGGAGTTAAACTATTTGAAGGAGAGGGAAAAGTTGTTGGTCCTAATGAAGTTGAAGTGAACCAACTGGATGGCACCAAAATAAGCTATTCAGCAAAACACATTCTGATTGCAACTGGAAGTAGGGCTCAACGTCCAGCTATTCCTGGACAGGTTTGTATGGTGTTTTAAAATATAGTTTGCTCTATTAGTGATTGGCGCTATGATTCATTTGCATAGAATTGATCTTTCAGCTTTCTTGTATTTTAATTCATGTCTAACTTGAATTTTTTGCTTAAGATGGGATACTATATGTTGTAACTATGTGATAACTTTTTACAACAAATTTCGGTTTCTATCTGACACCTCTTACCTCCTTTCTACTATTCTTTTTAATTTCCTCTAATTCCCATTCAGTTTTGATGGATACCTTTGACTCTTCCTTTATCTGGAGGGAATATTGATGTGTATGCTTATATTTTTGGTTCACGTGTAGGAACTGGCTATAACATCTGATGAGGCATTGAGCTTGGAAGAGTTGCCTAAGCGAGCTGTTATACTTGGGGGAGGGTATGCTACCTCTTCTTTGTTACATTGAATTTGTTTAGTGTTCTTAAAAGATATAAATGATTCATGTTTCTTTTGACGTGTAGGTACATAGCTGTTGAGTTTGCTTCAATATGGCGCGGGATGGGTGCATCAGTGGATTTGTGCTTCAGAAAGGAGCTTCCTTTAAGGTTATAAAGTTTACTTGATTGTCAACTCTTTGCAATTTCTGTTTCTGTGGCTGCCTGGTATTGTAGTGAAGCTTCTGAGATCTATATCTACATGAAACTATGCAGTAGATGGACTAATGTTGACTGCGAAAATTTAGGCTCAGACTGTGATACTTAACTTAGCCCATGTTTGACTAATGTTTATTAATAGTTTACAAGAGGTCAAATCACTTTTTATGTACACATTTCTTGGGACCCGCAAGTACTACCCACTTTTTCATGACTAATTTCTATTTGTTTATGATTTAAACTATAAACACATCCCAAAAGGCTTTAAATTGAAATTTTCATGAGATACTATATGTTATGATTTATATTAATTTGCTTAAAAGTTTTTTAGTTTATGAATTCAGTTTACATTAAATTATTTTTCAAATTTTCCATCTTTTTAACCACACATTTTTCCAAAAAAATCACTATTATAAAACACTTTTTTTTTTTTTTTTGTGTCTAAAACCTCATTTTAATGGAGCCCGAGCAGGGGATACATATGTTTAAGATAACTTCTATTGATTGAGAATTTGATTGAAATTGAGTTTTGTTTTTGCTTTTTCATTTTCCATCACTTTTTGAACGGTCCAATATGTGCAAACGGCAATACTATTGAAGCCCCTATCTGTGTACTACTAGTTGTTAAGTCATGAGTGCCTACGAATACTTTGATTACTCCAGCATGATTTCTGTTCTATATTTTGGCCAATTTAAGTTATTTGCAAGCTAGTATATAAGTTTTCTTAGAGCCCATTTGAACCACATTATTTGTAGAATGAAAATGAAAAATAAGGCCGTTATGGGTCCCACACAAGAGATAGAAATTCAAAAATGGTGGTTTGATGTGATAGATTACGGTCATATTTTTCATTTTAATGAGGTAAAAATAGGCCTCAAACAGGGCCATAATTCAATTGATGTTCTTTTTCACTTAGAAGCTATAAAGTTACTGCAAATGAATACATTTAGTTTTGTTTTTCTGTTTAATGCATTTTGTCAGTGTTTTTTTCTCTTTTTGAAAGAAGATTTATGTGGATATTGGACACCTGGTATCAAAGGGTAGTACTTGCCAATTTAATCAGTTTCGAGTTGTTACTGGGAAATATCATGGGCTTTGAAGTGTTCATTTAGGGTAGTGAATGCAAAGATTAGTAGGACCAATCAATGATGGAGAGAATTACTTTTGGGTTTTGTCAGGGTACTGTGAATCAACTTTGAAAGTGGAACTTGGTTGATCAGCAGGTTTCTTTTTTGTGTTCCGATGTATTTAATAAAATAATTATATTGCAATATGAATGACAAAATATTCACTCACAGGCTAACATGTAAATTGTGGGTTCCTTAAGACTGCAACTCCTCATTGTAGTATTGTGATGGTACCTTGAATTTGTAATAGATTTTTTTTGGATATTGATGGAAAACTTTGTTGTTCTTCAATCTTCAAAGATATTGTTGATAAGGAGATTGAAGGTTTTGGAAGTAGTGAGGGAATGGAAAATTTCTGGAGATTGCCGTGTTAGCAATTACCTAGTGCATATAGATAGTTATCATTAGTACACAGCAACTCCATAATTTTGACTGCCCAAATAGAGTGTTTCTTTTGTCCTCTATGCGCAAGGGGCCACTAGCACTCTTTTGACTTACACTCTGATCTATTGCAGAAATGACCAATAGTTTTTGGTAACTCATTTTACAAATTTGAAGATGTTCAGTCATTTTTTGACCAGATTACTTCTAAGGGTATCTTGTATAACACTAAACTAGTGAACTGATAAAGGAAGTGCAAAATGCTAAGATGTTGGTCACACATAGGATGTGGATATATATCAAATCTATTTACTACAATTACCATTCCTTACATTTCTTTGCATGTTTATTTACTGAGAGCATGATTTCTTATCTGAACATCATTTATATTAATGTATTTATTGGTGCATTGTTTCTTATGGCATTCACCTATCAATTATTATTTCAGAGGTTTTGATGACGAAATGCGAGCAGTGGTTGCAAGAAATCTAGAAGGCAGGGGAGTTAATATGCATCCTAGGACAACCTTAACTGAGGTTCTTTACGTCTCTTGCCTACATTAATCACATAATCACCGCTGCCCACAGTCCACATGCACAAAAAGAAAAGAAAAGAAAACTAGAGAGAGAGAGTTAAAAGAAGTGTTTACCAGCTATTGATCTGGATCTTTTGGTTCCTTGCTATTCTTTTATAAGTTAATGATGACATTTCCATTTACATTTAACCTAATTGGTATAATGATTTGGTGTTCCAGCTAGTTAAAACAGAAGATGGTATAAAAGTACGCACTGATCATGGTGAAGAATTGCTGGCAGATGTTGTACTCTTTGCCACTGGTAATGTCAAGCAGTTTCTTACATACACTAGAAATCCAAGTTACATTTTTAATATCTGCTGGTTTACCTTATTTCTAGAAATAGTGGTTTTTTGTTGTGGGGGGTGCATCAGAAAATTGCTGTGTATCAAAAAACGTTGTCTTTGGTCACTTAAGAATCATGTTGTTACCTTGTACTGTCATTATTATATTCATGATTTAAGTGCATAGTAATCAATTTCTCCCCACTTTGAATTATTGAACGTAGATACACCAAATGGTATCCATAATTGTAAGTTGTATTAGATGTGTGTGATTTACAACAAATTGAAAGGTTTCCTTGTATATAATTGTAAATCCCTATATATATGAAAGGAGGACAGGAAGAAGGTTTATCGAGGTAAATTGGCATGGTATGAGAGCCATAGAATCACTTACACGTGCGTGTGTATTGTGGGTTGGCTCTTTGTTCATAGACATTGGTGGTCGGCATCTCGGATAGGAATCGCTTCTCATTTCATAGTAATCTCTGGTTGGAGTTCAGGTCTCAGGCATCGTCAACGATAGCATCTCTGTTCTTCTCATCGGGATCTTCATGTTTTATTTTGTAAGCTTGAGTTTCTTGGGTCCATTCAGGATCGCAGCTCCTGATTGATCTTCGAATTTGAGGGGAGGCTTGTCGTTCGGTTACTAGTCGATGCACTTTGGTTGTCTCTCCTCATTATCTCAGCATTCTCTCCATGTCTCGTGTCTGTGGTTTGGGTTTTGCTTCAATTGGGCTGTGAGTGTTTGGTCAGTAACTTATTTAGGCCTTTTGTTGTGGGGCTTTTACTGTTTTTAATAGAATTTTTGGTTGGGCTGTGATTGGGGGCTGATTCTTGCTGATCGAAAAATTTATTTGTATCGTGATTAATTTTCTACTAGGTATCATCATGTCAATTGAGAAGAGTGACCATGTTTACATTTGTTTTACTGGAAAAAATTATTCTTCGTGGGTGTTTCATTTTCAGCTATTAGTTGAGGGTAAAGGCGACCTATGGGGTCATATTGATGAAAGTGTTCCACCTCCTGATCAAGAGAAGAAGAAGAAGAAGGAGAAGTATCATGCATGGAAAACAAAGGATTTTCAAATTATGGCCTGGACATTGGATCTGTTGATGCTTAAATTGTTCTTGATTTGAGGCCTTATAAGTCATGTCGTGCTATGTGGGAGTTCTTGAAGAAAGTATATACTCAAAGCAACAATGCTAGAAGGCTTCAATTGGAGTTTGAATTGGCAAATTTTTCTCAGGATTGGAGTTCCATTGAAGAATATTATTCTGCTTTTTCCAATCGTTGGATTGAGTGTACATATATTATCTATGCTTTGGTTTCACGTGACACTTTGGCTGCTGTCCAAGCTGTACATGAAGTCACCAAGACCGATCAGTTTCTTATGAAATTGCGAATTGAATTTGAATCCATCAGGTCGAGTCTTTTGAATCGCGAATCTATCCCAACGCTGGATGGATGTTTAGGTGAGTTGTTGAGGGAAGAGCAGCGTCTTATCACTCGTACCTCTTTGGAACAGCAACAGAATCAAATAGCACCGGTTTCAGTTGCATATGTGGCTTAAGGGAGATCCAAATCTCGAGATATGTTTAGTGTGCAATATTACAATTGTAAAGGGTTTGGTCACATGGCTCTTCAATGTCCTAAAAAAATGTGCAATTATTGTAAGAAGCCAGGACATGTTATTAAGGAATGTCCTATTCGTTCACCATGTAAGACTAGAGTAGGTTATGTTGTTGCCGCCACTTTAGCCTCCAATTCTGCTACACCAGCTAAATCCACTTAAGTTTCAATGTCTCCCAATTCTTCCCTAAATACCATCACTCTTGAGATGATCCAACAAATGGTTATCTCTACTTTGTCGGTCCTGGGCATCTCGGGTAATTCATCAACTGCCCCTTCGTATTGGTTATTAGACTACAATGCTTCTAACCATATGACCCATATGGCCGGTGGTAATTCACTTTTGATCTTGACCGTAGGTGATATATCACCAGATTTGTCAAATGTTTTAGTATCTCCTAGCTATCAGCTAACCTTATATCTGTTTGTCAACTTGTTGATAACAATTGCACCGTGTCTTTTTCTTCTTTTGGCTGTCTTTGCAGGATCAGATGTCTAGGAGGACGATCATGATGGAGCCTAAAGAGGGACGTCTCTTTTATATTTCACTAAAGCCTGTTTCGTATTTTCCCATTGTTTGCAATTTTGCTACTTTTAATAATTTTTATAAGCATTAGAAATTGGGACATCCCAGTAATAATGTGTTACAACACTTGTTAAACTCTGATTTGCTTGGTAATAATACTTCTGCTTCAGTTTCGTCTATCTCACTTGATTGTACTTCATGTAAACTTGCTAAGAGTAAAATTTTGCCATTTTCTTCTCAATCAAGATCCTACGATCTGATTCGGGAGGCGAATATATGTCTAATGCATTTCAATCTTTCTTACAAACCAAATGTATTATTTCTCAAAAATCTTGTCCTTCTACTCCTCAACAAAATGGGTTGGCAGGACGCAAGAATCGTCATCTTCTTGACATAGTTAGAGTTTTTCGAATTGAATCTTATGTACCTTCTTGTTTTTAGTGTAAAGCCTTGTCTACGAATGTTCACTTCATAAATCGATTACCATCTCCCACCCTTGGTAATACTTCTCCGTTTTATAAAATCTTTGGCCATCATCCCACATTTTTATCTTTGTCCCTTTGCCCGTGTTTGTTTTGTTCATTTACCACCACATGAAAGGACAAAACTCACACCTCAATCTGTCAAGTGTGGTTTTATGGGGTGTGGTGGGAGTCAAAAGGGGTATGTTTGTTATGATCCCACGACACATCGCATTAGGATATCTTGAAATGTTGTATTCTTTGAAAAACAATCGTTCTTCACTTCCGAGGTTGTTATTTCCCCTCCCGTGTTCTCTATCTTGCCTAATTTTCCCACAGACTCATCTTGGTACAAGTCGGGTCTAGTTTACACTCGTAGGCATGTTATACCGGTCATCGTTGTCAAGCCTTCTTCTCAAATATATTCAGTAAAACTTCATTCTTATGGTTCTCTTGAGCGCTATAAGGCACGAATAGTTGCCTTGGGAAATTGTTAAGAGTATGGAATCGATTACAATGAGACATATTCTCCCATAACAAAGATGACCACCGTTCACCTCTTGTTATCACTTGCTGCTTCCAGGTCTTGGTCTTTACATCAAATGGATGTAAAGAATGCGTTCTTACATGGGGACCTCAAGGAAGACATTTATACGAATCTTCCATCTAGTATGCCTCTCTCCTCCGCTGACTCTGTTTGTAAGCTAAAGCGCTTTTTGTATGATCTTAAGTAGGCTCCTCAAGTATGGTTTGACAAGTTCTGCCACACTCTCTTAGATTTCTCATTTACTCAGAGTCAATTTGATGCATCTCTATTTCTTCGCAAGAATACTGGTGGCATCTTTTTTTGTTAGTAAATGTAAACGATATTATTATCTATGGATCTAATCACACTTTTATTCAAAACCTTCAACAGCATCTTCAGTCAATTTTTCATGTGAAAGACCTTGGTCATTTCACTTACTTCTTGAGCTTAGAGGTTCATACTGCATCGCATGAAATTTTCTTGAATCAATATAAGTATATTCAAGACTTGATTATGTTGGCTGAGTTATCTGATGTCTCCTCCATTGATACTTCGTTAGTGCTTAATGTTAAATATCGAAAAGACGAGGGTGAGTCTTCCAGATCCTACTCTATATCGAAAATTGGTGGGTGGTCTCATCTATCTTACTATCATACGTCTGGATATTTTCTTTGCACTACATACAGTCAGCAAATTTATGGATGCTCCTCGTTATCTTCAGTTGGTCTATTCATTGCATTATTCATTATCTTATCGGGACTCCTCATCGTGGTCTATTCTACCCTCGGGGAACGCTGCTTGAGCTCACAGCTTATAGTGATGCTGACTCGGCTGGTTGTCCTGACTTTAGTCAATCTACTACTAGGTGGTGTTTTTTTTTTGGGGTGATGCTCTCATTTCTTGGAAATGTAAGAAACAGAATTGTGTTTCTAAGTCCTCTACTAAGGTTGAATATTGCGCTATGTCCGTTGCTTGTTCTAAGGTTGTGTGGCTGCATGGTGTTCTTGCAAAACTTGACATTTCCCAATCACAATCCACTCCTCTGCATGGTGACAATACTAGTGATATTCAAATTGTAGCTAATTCGGTGTGCCTTGAATGCACCAAACATATTGAAATATATTGTCATTACATCTAGGACGCCTATGACTCCAAGTTCATTCATCTGCGACGTGTTTCCACTGGTCAAAAGATCATGAACATCTTCTCAAAATCTCTGACTCGTCTTCGTCATAATTTTCTTGTAAGCAAATTGATGCTTGTGGACTCGCCATCATCAATTTGAGGGGGTATTAGAGATGTGTGATTTACAGTAAATTGAAAGGTTTCCTTGTATAATTAGTTTACTTGTTTAGATTAATTTTCCTTTGTATAGCTAGGGTTTCCTTGTATATAATTGTAAACCCCTATATATATGGAAGGAGGACAGGAAGAAGGTTTATTGAGGTAAATTGGCAAGTTGTTGGGACAGTGCTTCTTCTCAATGTACAATTTGTTGAAATTAGGTTAGATTTAATGAGGTTTAATTCTACTTTCAAGATCATACCAGCAGAAAAATATTCTTTGGGTAGAGATAGCATGAGATCTCATTTTTTATTAGTTTCTGCTGAGAGAAGGTAGTACACATGGTTAGTGGTTTTGCAATACAATTTTCTGTGTAGCAGTTTGTCTTTCATCGTGACAGGAGACTATTTTGTGATTTTTATAGGATGTTTTGGATATTGGATGGTTTACATTGCACTTGTGTAGCATGCTGTGCTCACTGCTAAAATTTTTAATCAGGATCCATTTTTCTTTTTAAAATTCTTTCTGCGACTTTTTTTCTCTGTTGAGAGGTTGATTATTATTATCTTGGCTATTGGTTGTAGGTAGGACACCTAACACAAAGAGATTGAATCTGGAAGCTGTAGGCATCGAACTTGATAAGAATGGAGCCGTGAAGGTTTAGTGGTCCTGTCATTGATTTTCCTCATTCCTATGTCTTTTGAAAAACTGAAGGCCACAAAATGATGTAACTTGTTGATATTGCTTGAAACATTACATATCCTGGTCTCAGGGATCTAATAATCAGACACTCTGAGCTTACACTATGAATATGCAGTAGAGCATGGCTAGTTTTTTTGCCTTAGGTTTTTCATCAAGTCTTGCATAGTATAGTTATGGCTGTCATTGTTTGACTTGGGTGAACAATGAAGGATTCCCTAAAACTTTTTATGGATTCATGGACAACTATTTCCATTTTATTTATTTATTATTATTATTTTTTTTTTGGCTTTTGACATGGCATTTAACTTTATATTTTTCTCCTTGGTGATGAGATATCACACTAAAATTTTCTGTCATCTTGATTCATGCCATATTAGTTATCCTCTAGTTTACTGATCCTTCAGTTTCCTTCAGGTTGATGAATACTCTCGTACCAACATACCTAGCATATGGGCCATTGGCGACGTTACAGACCGAATGAATCTTACTCCTGTTGCATTAATGGAAGGAACCTGTTTTGCTGTATATTTTCTGCCGAATTCTCATTATCTTTGTTTCTAGTTGCCAAGATCTTTTTCATTAATAAACTCACATTAACATGCTAAGTAATTGTTTATGTTTTTATCCAATTTAATTCTTAATTTTTTGTTGCTGCAGAAAACTGTTTTTGGCGAACAACCCTCAAAACCTGATTACAGCCATGTTCCTTGTGCTGTGTTCTGGTACTACTCTCTCTCCTTGGCCAACTATCAAGTTGCACACTTTATTATTCCTTATTTTGCATATTAACAGTGGTAGTTGAAGTCCACTTTTTACATAAATAAGCTTCCACATTTTAAAAGCTGTGACGGTGAAAACAAAGAGCAAGAGTTAGTTTAGCTAAAGGGGGATGAACTAGAAAACTACAAATTAACGATGTGCAATGCACGGAAAGTGGTTTTACTGTCAAGTTTCTCTAGACTAGAAACTTTTTCCCCCAAAACGCCATTAAAGCCTAAGTGACTTTTTACCAGTCCGCCTAGATCCAATTGGGTGTTTGGATTTCTCACTTGTATTTTAAACTATAACTACTTTTCTTATGGATGTGACCAAATTAGATTTAGGTGTGTTGGAGTTCCTTTTTGGATTATGCACCCTTAAAATTAGAGCATCCATCATCGACTGTAGATAACTTTGAAGATAAGAAAATATAAATGTGAATTCACTCTATATATTAATGGAATTTAGGGTCCACAGCACCTAATCAGAGCAAAAGGAAAAAAAATGGGGCTGTTGATGTAAAGATGTATACACTAGATTTAAAGCTCCGTAAAGGAGAGGTTAGGTGATGTAACAGGATATTATTCGAAGATTACTTGCTATGGATTAGAATGAGTTATTTAAAGGGAACCAAATCGTGGCTGCTACTTTTTTAAGGTTTCGAACCTGGAAATCTGTCAATGGTGGAGAGAATTTGTGGTGGAGCTCTTAAAACCCGAGCTTTACCCTTGCCACATGTCTATTGACCTCAGCCAAAAGACTTGTTTCGTCCCTATGTCATAGCAAATTAACATCTACCTAAACTAAATAAAAGAAACCAGGTGAATTAACATAGACAATGTAATGTTGAAGGCTAGATTTGATTGAATACACGTGGTCCCTCTTTAATTGCTTAAGCTTTTAGATGAGGTTGTTAACATTGTATCAAAAGCAATGCCAGGCAAAAGGCACATTGAAGATGAGATTTAAATGAATAAAAATGGCCCCTCTTAACAGTTTGACCTTTTAGATAAGTCAGTTAACATTTATAAAATAGAGGTTATAATCTAGGAACAGTCTATATTAGTGCCTGTAGAACAACAGTGTATCCATTGAAACTGGTTCTTGGCCTAGCGAAAACTACCTTATCAGTAGTCATTGTTATACCTGATTATAGATTCGGGATTGGGACAATTTTGCATTTTGTTTTATTATTTTTACTAGGTCTAAACTGGTAATACCTTAAATTTAGGTGATGACTTGTCTGTATCTGTTTTTTCAGTGATTATACTGTTTCCATCATATTTCACTATTGTCTTACCAATAGTAGACTAAGATTTGTCAAAATCTGTCCCACTTGGGCCTTTCCCTTTGTTTATTTTCAGAGCCATTAATATTTTTAACTTTAATCTTTTTGCTGCTTGACAGCATACCGCCACTGTCTGTAGTTGGTCTCAGTGAGGAACAGGCCATAGATCAAGCAAATGGTGATGTTTTAGTCTTCACATCAACATTTAATCCAATGAAGAACACAATTTCTGGGTACGTTGGTTGATTGTTGATATTGTATGCCTAAATAAAATAGGCCAACCTTCTTAAAGATTTTTCCAATGCAAATGTCGTGGTTATGAATATGATACTAGAGGCAAATACCTTGTAATCCAAAGATTCTGCTGTTTCAAAATTTCTAAAAATAGAGTAAATATTTCTTTGCAGGGTTGGCCAATTCGTATTGGTTATGATTATTGATTACTGCATTATTTGCACTGAATGTATATCTTCGTTCTAGTAAATGATTTGTTAATGCAGAATGGTGAAAACTTAGTAATATTGCCTAAAATTTTGCTCTGGAACTGTTGATAGTTGAACTTCACAACATTTAAATTTGAAATTTTTATCTGTTGAAGCATGTTCTTTTAAGTAACTGGATGATATGTGGTATTGTTGCATAGACGTCAAGAGAAAACGGTTATGAAGCTTGTTGTTGATGGTGAGACTGATAAAGTTCTTGGAGCATCCATGTGTGGGCCAGATGCAGCTGAGATCATACAGGTATACAACTTAGTCCGTTACTCATTTTTTTCTTAATCGTACTTATATATGGGGCCTGGGCATCATATTTTATCTTCTGTTGTTGAAATGGAGGGAAAATGAACAGAATTTTGAGTACAAGAAATGTCTTCTTTGTACTTGTAACTTGAGAGTTGCCAAATCATGTATAAAAATTCAGTTTTCTTATTCTTCTCATTTGTGTGCATCATAGTATTTGGGCCCACGAGCATCTTGTGTTGCGAACTCTCCAGCAGGAAAATAGAAGTGTTTAATGTATTGATTGATCCTAGGTTATGAGCTTTACATTTTTGGATACCACTATTAATATTTTGAGCTTCATATGATATGAGGGCCATCCATTTCATTAAAATGCTTAGGTCCTATTAAGCTTCACTTTCCCATGTGGTTCTCTGCCTCTTCTTGGAGTCTCTTTGTTTCTCTTCCATCTCCTGGATTCTCCTCTTTACTATTATTATTATTATTGTTTTGCAATTTGGTAACATAAAATAGTTATCCTTAAGGAGCTTAACAAATATGATTCTCCTTCGAGCTTGTTTGATACGGTGAATTGTATATCGCTCGATAGTATTAAAAAAGAAATAGAAGTTAAAAGCTTGTCTAGTACAGTTATGTCCAATACTGCAAGGGAAACACGCTCTGTTCGCGCATAGTATTAGATCATGGTTAACAGTGCGTTATAGAAAATGCCAACTTCATTTCTTATTTACCATTGTCTAGTATGGTCTAAACTGAATTACGAAACTTTTCGTTAGCTTAAGAATCAATATTGCTAGCATCACATTTGACCACCCAGTTCGACTTTTTCTTCTAATTGGGTATGATCATCATATTGCACAGGGCATTGCTGTTGCACTTAAATGTGGAGCAACCAAGGCACAATTTGATAGCACGGTAAGCCGACTTGACTTCTCAGAGCTTGTGTTCTTCCTTGTGCTTGCCAGTTTTTCTAGAATTCAGCATAAAAGACATTCAATTAACATGAAGAGTGAAGTCATGCATTTTTGTAAATCTCATGTGCCAAGTTCATATTCAACATGTTCTTAATCTTTCTTTGCCGAGAGAGGCAGGTTCGTATGGTTTGATTAATCGACAAATTATTTAATGAACTTTCCACAAATTGGTAAATATAACGAAGTTCAAATCATCTTGTAATTTTAAACCTATTTCTCAATCATAAAAAGCTTTGGGGTATATTCATTATTACTGATACATCAGTTGATCTTTTGTACAGGTTGGTATACATCCTTCTGCTGCAGAAGAGTTCGTGACCATGAGATCTGTGAGTAGGCGGATCGCGGCTGGTAAACCGAAGACCAACCTATAGGCATGAACGCGAAAACGTTGTACTTTATTATGATCGTGGGAAATTAGATTCACTTTGAGAAAGCCTATTGTAGAAGACACTGATTATCCTTTCTGGGATTTCATTGAGAGACTTTTCCTCCACTCAGATGTTGCTTCGGCTTCAGCAGTAATTTCAAAACATTGCATATCAAATAATCAAGGAACGTGAATTGTTAAGTGCAAATTGGTTATCTGGAGACAAACATATTTTCAATAAATTTTATGATTTTTTCGGCTTAAAATTCATAATTTCTGATGTGTACAAGGAGCTGTCCTTTAGTTATTTGCTTTTGATGTACTATAGAGAGTTGCTACAATAACAGGGCCTCGAGACGGCCCTTGTGACGGGAGGCTGAGGTGGCTCAGCCTCAGCCCCAAAATTCTAAAATTAAAATTTTGAATTTGGGACTGAGGCTGAGCCACCTATCACAAGGCCCGTCTCCAGGCCCTATCCATTTAGCATAAATGTATACTATAACGCTAATGCTAAAGTGACAGGCCTGGGGACAATATATAAATAGGGTTGAGGTGAATGTACCTCAACCCCTGTTTATATAACCTTCATTTGGCCTTCGTTTTTTTCAAATTTAATGTTTGGAGTAGTGTTTTTTTAAGAATGTGCGATTGAAAAAAAAATGAAAAATTTTTAATTTACGTGTAATATTATTTTATGAAAAATTGTGTAGTTGAAAATAAGAGGAAAAAAATGAAAGATAATCGGGGCATAATCTGTCCTCATCCCTGTCACTCCAGCAAACCTCATACTATGATGGCTTCTTTAGCAACGTAGACTGGACACTCGGACAATGTTAAAGAGGAGAAAAAGCCACCCCGCCCCCCAGGGCACATCCAAGTTGGCGGAACAATCACATTGGGGGGCTCTGGAACCAAGTGTGGGGAGTTCGATTCCTGGTTGGAGCAGCCAAGTGATGTAATAACCAGAGGAAGGGTTGGAGCAGCTTGGTGATGTAATAACCATGGAGGAGGGTCCCTTTGGGGAAGGAGTAAAAATCATGTGGGAACCTGGGAACCAACAAGAGCACAACCTGCGATTTACCTCCACTAGTCACTGTGGGGCCGGGGGCTAGAGGTCCAGGATTTAGTCCGGCTAAGCTGGGACACCTGGATTATCAAAAAAAAAAAAAAAAAAAAAAAAAAATAGCCACCCCTTATTTGAAAAAGTCAATCATCCATCTAATAAAATATTAAAACTGGGCACTTGACAAAGTCACCCCTAATTTGATAGAGTCAATCATCCATCTAATAAAATATTAAAACTGGGCACTTCATGGTTCTCAGAGTTTAAAGCAAAATTAGAATTTCAAGATTCATCTTGGGGGAAATATCATCGGTAAGGGCTAATTCGATTAACTCCTACATTGAAACCTAAGATTTTTTTAACTTGGTACTAGTTACCTTATGAAATTTGTGAGGCTCAACGCCACAAGTATCGCATGAAAAGATAAACAAATAGTGAAATAGTAGGCTCATTATTTCTCTCTTATTCACTCGGCATTTTTAAGTCTCGTTATTTGGGTAGTTTCAAGTATGATGTATCGTGATTTGAGTGGACAATTCTATCGCGTATGTATATAGGATGTTAGTAAAGTTTTTCTTTCAATTAAAAAATAGCCATCAATTTGTTGAAAAGTGCACAAAACAACAAATTCATTAGGTAATCTAACCTTGGAGACATTTGCACACTGCCAAATCCATTCTACTGGGTATGATAAATAAAATATATTGAGACAGAGCCAAGTACTTTTCAGAGAGGGAGATAGACCAACCTCTTCAATAATTGGATAAGAGTGGGTGAGAAACAGGAAAACCAGTACGGAATACAAAAACAAAAACACACTTCTCTCAAACGGAGAGATCAAGTTTTTGAAGATTAAAACAGTAGAACCAGGATGAACATGGACCCTTTTGCAAGGCTGCCGGAGGAATGCATTTCCACCATTCTGTCACTCACATCGCCCATGGACGCGACAAGATTCTCGATAGTCTCACACAGGTTCAAATCCGCCTCTGATTCAGACAACGTTTGGGAAAGATTTTTGCCCCCGGATTATCAACAAATCATCTCAACATCAGCTTCTCCAGTGTCGTATGCCACCAAGAAAGACCTATATTTTACTCTCTGTCATTCCTATATTCTCCTCCATGAAGGCAATACTGTAAGTACATTTTTCTACTTTCTTTATGCTTTGGTCCATTCATCACTCATTCATGTTAAAATCAAGCATATACTACGAATGTTAACCTAACTTGTTTATCGAGTGAATGGAAATCTCTATAAGCTCTTTGCAGTTCACCTTACATAGAAATATCTAACAATAACTCGCTGTAGATAATACTGAGTCATGTTTAATCATGTGTTGAACACTTAGCTGCTCAATGTAAGAACATGATTCCCAGCTGCTCAATGTAAGAACATGATTCCCAACACACAATAATTTAATATGACAACGACCTTTATTTGGGCAAGATGGCCTTCCTCTTTTTCGATTAACTTGTAAATGCCACTTCTGATGGTAATATTTCTATCCAACTAATTATAGAAAATCCTATCTGGCACTGACACTTTAAATGAGTTTGTTTGGTACAGATTTCAAGTCAATTAAAATCAATTTTTTGACCATTGTCATTTTTGAATTCTTCTCTTTTATCTCTAGCGGTCAAAAAATCATTTATCAAAATTTCTACCAAACAAGCACTTAATTGTTTCTCTAGGCTGTCTTGATAGATATTCTTAACTAATCCACCCTGTGAGGTACTGTGCAAGAAAATATGATTTTCTAGTAATATACAAACTCTGCATCTATAATAGTATCATCTTAACCTTGAAACAGAGCGTTTCTCTTGATAAACGGAATGGAAAGAAGTGTTATATGCTAGGAGCTCGAGAACTTTTACTATCATGGGGAGGATGCTGGAGCTGGACATCCCACCCGCAATCCAGGTGCAAGAGAGACTATATTCAATAATCAATACTTCTCTTCACATGCAAACTATTGTTAATTCATATGCCTGGAACATGATTTAAGTAAAAGCAAGAAAATTTCTTTTTATGCATAATTGCGGGATAGATTATTGATAATCAACACGTCTCTTCACATGTAGACTATTTTTCAAGAAATCCTATAAAAGCAAGAAGGCTGATTTTTTTTTTCATATATAAGTGCAGGAGAGACAATATTCAGTGATAATCCCATGTAAAGGTTCCAAGTTTCGATAAATTTATTTTATTTTATATGTCATGACGAGATGAATGCCCACGTGAGAATCTATAATAATTTGAACGTGAATTTATATTTACAGATTCTCCGAGGTGGCCAAGCTTAAGTGTCCCGGTTGGATCCATGTTCGGGGGAAGATGAAAACTCACATGCTGTCATCAAACACTGCTTATGCAGCATATTTGGTATTCCACCTAGCAGAAAGATTGAATGGGCTTCAATCATCAAGAACTGTGATTAGATTCGTCGATCCTCATATGGAAAACAGTATGATTAAAACTGTAGAGGGCACAGAGAAACTTGAATCCGAAGGAACTGGGAAAATTGCACAAATGAGAGGTGATGGCTGGATGGAAATAGAAATGGGAAACTTTTACAGTAGAGAAGAAGATAATAGAGAAGTGGAGGCATGGTTGATAGATATTAATAACCCTGGTGGAAAGTCTGGCCTCATCATCGAAGGTATCGAGTTTAGACCAGTTTGAGGAGGAAAAGTGTAGATAAGAATATTTGTCGAAACTTTAAATAAATATTTCTGATAATCTACCGAATGGCATTGTGTTTATTCTTGGATTTTATGTAAATGAAAGGGCAGTTTCAATGAAATTCATGGAATTGAAATTTCAATCTACTGTATCTTTTTTAAATCTACTATGCATTTACTGAAAACAAGTACAATGATTGAAGCATGAACTCTGTACAAATAAGAAATGCAAAAATGTCAATTAATATATTTATTCTAAATAACTTGAGGACACCCCCCCGGGAGCTTCCACATCTCTTTCAAAAGAACAAAAAGAAAAAGAAATACGTACAAGTTAAGCAGTGGCAAATTTCGTGCCTGCACATACATCGCATGTTGTGTATCCCAGGCCTTCACAGTATGGACACTTTGTTCCTTCATCTACCCATTCCAGAAACTGCGTCACAGAACTTTCATTAGCTAAAAACCCACAAAATACTAATATCAGCAGCAACGGTTTCATTAAAAAAAATGCCCCTTTGGTTTTCAAAAAGCTTCACAGTAATATACCCTTGTTTCAAAAACCAAACAAGTTCTATTTTTAACTCCTATCAAGAATGGTACTTCACAAGCTAAAAGGTTGCATGCAGTGGCTCTGGGATACATGTAAATGGCATTACTCACCCTGACACCAGCTTTCATTCACAAAGGCCAATTATTTAACAAAGTGGAGCCAGCCCAAGAAATTGAACAAGTCATTTGTTACAAAAATTTATAGCTCAGTTCAGTTACTGATGAAGAAAATCGATTTTTGTTCGACTGTATGTTAAACCATTTGATGGTCTTGAACCATAAGAAAACATCAAACAAATTTCAAACCATTGGCTGTAAGTTGAAGTTAACACTTGTACAAACTATATTTGATAGCTATAATAAATTGGACATCCTCTAACCTGTGGTTCAATGTTTGGTTCACCAGATCCATCACATTCTGCAAAGAAACTAATTGATATTAGCACAGATAGTGTGACCAATGAAAAATTGCTTAATTTTGTAAACATCATATATTTTAAATACATGTTACCTAGGTTCCAATTTAAAATCAGCTAACTGGAATCATAGACTTCACTACAACTCAATCTAAAGTGAATCAAAGTAAATCCAGACCCCAATTAGGTTTAGACATTTCAAAATAAGTATGCAGTTCAAGCAGATGACAGAAGCCACAAAGCGATTTACAAATACAAAGGATAAATTAAATGGAATTGACTGATATGATGCTCTACTGTAGAAAAATAGAAACCCTTGAATGACTACCCATAATAAGTTTGTGGTGTTTTCTTTAAGGTAATCCAATTTCCAGTTTTTGTTCATTTCAACCTTATCGTCTGATTTATGTAACATTATGATGTCAAATCTAGAATGAATAAGTCAAGCAGAGAATTATTAGGATAAAAAATTAATGAGAGAAGAAAGAAAACTTGTACCCATGCATAATAAGCGGCCTTCCCCACGGCAAGTAAGACATTTTGTTTTAGTATTGCCCTTGTCATTCTTGACTGCAGTTTGGTTGCTTTTCCCAGAGAGTCTGGAAGGTTCTTCCCATCGATTCTCTCCCAGAAGAAAGACTCGATGATGAGATACTTCAACTTCTGTTGTACCATCTTCTTTTGAAACTGTCTGCTGAACTTCAGATATTGCGGTAGTCGAAGCGGTTAGAGCTCCATTTTCACTCTAAGGAAGAACCCACACAGTGAAAAAGTTGTAAGCCATGCAACTCACTAAAGAATGATCCGCATCAACATTAAAGCTTCAGCTAAAACTATACCCTTTACTGATAAAAATATTATATCAAGGCCACTTGAGAAGGCAGAGCTCAATGTAATGTAATCTAAAATAGGGAAAACACTAAAAGAATTTGATTTCCATGGTACAATGACAGCAAAAGGACAAAATCAGTTTGTGTAATATTATCGCCCAATGTTTTCTCAAACTAGCCACTAGACTAGCCTAATTATGAAAAAAGAAAAAATCTTTTGCAAGGTTTTGGATATTAATGAGTCAAATCAATTAATAATTTACATTTTAAGCTGGCAAAAGCAGTAAGGCACCAAATGACGGAACACACCTTCTCTAATAATTTTGGTTTAAGTCCTTGAGAACTTTCAACTTTTTGCTCAATACATAACCTCTCGAGAAGCTCTGAGGTCATAATTCCATCTTCTGGAGCTCCCAATGTAGCCTGTCAATAAGAGGGAAATTAAGGGCGGCAACATCTCAATAATTTGTGCATTTGTTCCCTGCAAGGAATGAATCCATGTCCAGTGACCAGATTTGTCGTACAACACTTATAAAATGCAACATACTTGCCAAGTTTTTACTGCACGCTCAGTCCCGCTAGAGAAGCTCGAATACTCCATGTCCTCTTCACCAGAGTAAAATCCCAGCTTCTGCAAAGCTTCCTATCAAAAATAGTGTATAATAGAGAAACACCATCTCAATATGAAAAGACTTACATAAAAACACAAATGAAGAGCAAAACATAATCAAAAGAAACATATAGTAAATAGGCATGCAAAAACAGAACAAAGAAAACCTAAAATTGAAAACACGGGACACTTGATAAATCCTACATCAACTAAACCAAACGAAATATATGATTTTAGGAAACTTTAACTTGCAAGTATACCTGCATGACTCGAACCTCATCTCCTTCTGACCCTTTCCTCAATGTTTCCCTCTTTCTCACATTCTCCTCTCTATCTGCAACTTTAATTACTTCCTTCACAATAACTTCCTCACCCCTTTTAGCAGCATCAATTACTAGTGGCACAGCAATTGAGCCACTTTCGGCAAGTCTATTCACATTCTTCCCTAAATCCCCCTCCTTTAACACCTGCAGGAAAACTGAAATATTCATCACTATATATAAAGAAAGATATAGGAATACCCCAAGCTCCAACCAAATTCCAACCTCATCTTGGCAAGAATTAAAGTTTTTGGTAATTCATATTGGATCATTTCACAACCAAGAGTTGTGGCAGAAAAAAAGTAACATAAAAGAATTGCAATGAAAATCCATTCTCGAATTTGTCTCAAGGAAAGGGATGCAATGATTGAATGCTAGCAGTAACTATTATAAAACTAACTCTATTGTCTCAAACACCAAAATGCAATTGTACATTAACACTATTTAACTTTTTTTTATTCTAGGTTTCAAACTGAAAAAATAAAATAACAATTAACAAGATCTTAAATAAGACTTCACAGATTTCCCAAAATGCCAAAACTTAGGAAATGTTTAAAAATATGATATAATTCAAAAATATTAGCTTCATGCTAAAACAATTCTCAAGATGAAGGGAAAAATATGTATCGTCGTGTTATTAATAATTCAAACTACTTCAAGAACTGCTAATCCAATTGAAAATTCATCTATTTAAAAATCACAATTTTACAGGAGAGAAAATCCCACTTCAATATACACCTGCAGCAATTTCGCAATATTTGCAACAGTCTCGGAAGCAGATGCACCCTGAAGGGAGTTGAGGCGCTCCAATTCCTGGATTCTAAGCTTAAGACTGTGAATTTCGTGCAACAATGTCTCCCGCTCAGCGTTCCACCTGGACTCTTCCCGAATCCACCTCTGCTCCTCCCTGAGCCACCGTTGCTCTTCCCTCAGCCATCGAGCCTCTTCTTGTGGGCTGTTGCTGTTGCTGTTGCTTGAGGGTGGAATTGAGAAGCATATGTGGGATTTTGAAAATGGTCTGGAGGGGAGTGAAAGGGAAGTGGCGAAGTGTGAGAGGAATTGGGGTTTATGAAGAAGAGGTGGGTTTATCTTTGAACTCAGAGGCAGTGTAGATGACATTTGCGCGTGTGTACTGTGTGGAGATTCTTGAAAATCTATGGAGGGGTCGACTTTTTGCGGGAGATGATATACGTACGTGTATGTGAGATAGAGAGGAAGATATTTTTGAACCTCTGAACCGCTACCATGGAAAACATGATAAAACTAGAGGAAAAATGAAGATATTTTAATTTGGATAAACTTACTTTTACATAATTTTTTGTACAATAAGATATTCATACACTCGTATAGAGAATGGGGCTCACTCAAATAAAATATTCGATGGGCCTCACCCCATGTGAGTGTGGAGACACTGTTATAATATGTGGATTGCCTCACTATTTCTTTCTGGCCAAATGGACTAAAACAAGGACTTGGACTATTAATAATTTCAGGTTATGAAATCTTGTTCTTTGGAGAAAACATGGTTGCCTCTTTAGTGGGTAAAGATTAGCCGTTCACGTGACTGCATCCTGACCCTTGGATTATGACGTTTGGCTATTCAGATTGGTTTTGGCCCTAATTTTGGATGATTCAAAGTCTTCTGCCCTTTCTCCTGTTTCTCTCCTTTTCTCTCTGAGTGAAAGATTAGGATTTTTTTTTCTTTACTGTAAACCCAAAATATTCTTGGTGGTTTCTTAATCTGAATTCTTAGTGATGGATTCTGATTGTTTTGTACAATCGATTAGTTATTAAGAAGGTTTTGGTTGTTGTTTGTAAAGAAACGAAAGGAAATTTGAAGAAACCTTTGGTTTCTTCGTACATACTGTACTGTTCTTAGTTGATACTTAGTGGATCTTGAGCTATATTACATTTGGTAATACTTAACGGATGATTAGTTCGCAAGATTGAATATCCGGGCCTTTTTAGGGCGAAACATATCTTCGTGTTCGATTTTTCATTTTTCTGCAAGTTTATTTTTACTGCTTAAGCGAACGATCCTTTATGAATCTTAATGATTCGACTTAATAGACACTTTAATGTACAAAAAATAATGTACACCAAGAAAAGCCCTTTTAATTTTAGGTTAGATTCCACCTTACAAATTTACCCATGTAAGGAGAGTCGAGCATTCACGGTTAATAAGGTGCACATTTAACAGTCGTCCAAGAGTTAATTAAATTCTCATGTGACTGACATATCAAACTTCATGAACCCAAGTCAAACGGGTGTTCATAAATTTTAGTGGGCGATAAAACGTTTATGAACATATTTAGGAGGGAGCTCAACTTTACTTAGTTTAAGCTCTTCTTTGAGTCTCATTCTTGCCCAAAAAAAATATATTTTTGAATAGTGTATTGAAGAAAAATGTGTGGTTATAAAATAAAGAAAAGTTTTGAATTTTCGTATAATATTATTTTAGCCCCTGTTTGAGCTCCATTACATTAAATTCTATTACATTTCATTTTTCTCTCTCCTATTTTCAATCACACAATTTTTCATAAAATAATATTATATGTATATCAAAAACTTTTCATTCTTTTTCAACAACTCATTTTTCAAAAAAAAATTATTCCCCCCATTAATTTTTCTACGTAATGGAGATCAGACAGGGGCTTAATGAAGAATGTGTTGTTGAAATGGATCAAATCATTGTTGAATAATGTATTTTAATGAAAAAAATGGGGCTCAAACAAGGGCTAAAAATGTTTATAATGCAAGAGTTTAAAAAACTATACTTCATTCATCCTAAACATACTACTAATTGTCATTGTAAATTTAGTGTAGTTTTTTTTTTTTTTTTTTTTTAAATCTTGATCACTTTCAAACGTGTTATTTCGCAAATTTATTTTTAATCTCCAAATTGGAGAAGCGTGTGTTCATTCCATTCTTCGTGAAACTAATCAAAATGGTTACTAACATACTCCTTTGTGCTTGAATAGATATGTTGAGCCTCCACTCATACCTCAGGCTCACTCTCAGTCATCAGGCAGATGGATAGACCTATAGATTGATTCATTTTTTGTGATTTTGTATTTTTTTTTTATTTTTTTTTCAATAAGTGACAATTTGATGTATCATAGATAAAATAATTGATTTTTCGTATAGCTGATAAAAATGTTTGTCTAAGAAGTTATTGTAATGGTTTATTGAAGTAAGGCTCATCCTCTCGTTGTTACAATTTTTCTAGTCAATATAATTAAGGTAGGGGATAATGTCAAACTTCACAACTAAATATAAGTCTAATATCAAATTCACTCGTAAGTTGGTTGTACTTTACAAAAATAATATTGACTCATCAGGGGATGAACTACTATCGATAGATGACCTTTTATTTCATAAATTGGAGCAATAAATTTTCCCCCCTTTCCATAGAAGTCATCCAAAAAATTTTAGCTCTTTGTGTATACGTCCTCTAGAGTTGTGACCTTAACTCAAGGATACAAAACATTGGAGTTTTCCTTGCTAATTTTTTTCGTCTATTACATAAAAAGTTTATTAAACAGATAAAACCAAATGCAAATCTTCGAACTTCCAAGGCAAGATCCCAATAACAAAAAGTACTACCTCCCATCACTTCAATTAGACATATAACATCAGAATTAGATATGGCAATTTATTCTGTCCCGACGGGTTGATGGGACAGCGTGGGACTGCCCTGCCCCGAACTCGCCCAGTGAACACTAAAAAAATAGTTTTTTTTTAATATTGTTTTTTCGAGTGTTTATTTGAATATTGATGTTAATTTGAGCATTATTTGTTTTGAATTTTTAAATTTTGAATTTGCATTTTATAATTTAATAGTATAATTCTAAATTTTGAAAATGTGTAAAAAAAATAAAATTAAATGGGACAGTAAACCGCCCCCCGCCCCGTTGCCATCACTAATCAGAATGTTAATTTTTAATTGTTTGAAACTATTAAAGGTGCAATGGAAATAGATGAACGAAACGGTGAAATTGAAATTGTTGCACAGCGTTCATATTTTGTCCAATATATGTTGTTGTCAAATTTATCAACGAAAAGTCAACCTCAATAGAAGCAACGATAACTCATGAAAAAAGAGGATGGGACATTATCTCAAGTACAATTTAACACTTATCTATGAGCATAAAATTCATATCAAGAGCTATTGATCAAAAATGTTAAAACATTGTATTTAATATGGAAATTAAGTGTAAATGCAGAGTCTGTAGGAAGTTGTATTTATAGTTAGTTTGACGTATCATGTTGTACTAAGTTGATAGATCAAAACTTTTGATTTTAAATATAGAATTTATCTTAAGATATAATCAAGAATGCTAGAACGTGTATTCTAGGAAGTTTTATATATAATTAGTTGTAAGTATCATATTGTACTAAGCTGATGAATAATAATTTTTTGCTTCGAATTTAGAACTCATAAAATATATAGGATTAACACCACAATTTTTATTATCTGCACTACAATTTTATTGCAACTAAGATTTCCAAATTTTCTCATTTTGTATTTTTGTCCCAAACATTTTTTTTTCTTATTCTTAACCTTTAAATAATTAGCACAACTTGTCCAAATATTGTGTACTTTGTAGGAAGTTGTATTTATAGCTAGTGGAGATACTTTATTGCGCTAAGCTGAGATCATATGTCATAAGTTTATATTTCCATTATACCAATGACTACTTATTTAGATCGGAGATGTTCTCAATTGAGATTTTAATGGATTTCAATGAAATTCTTTAAAATTTAGGTTTCCTCACTAACTCGTAAATTTATAAGAATTTCAAAAGATTGAAATGAATTTAAAATTTAAATACATGTATAAAAAACTCCTTAAATAGGATGTCATCAACTGAGATTTCAATGAATTTTAAAATATTACAAATTTTGAAGACTTTCTTGTATTTGAATATATTTCCACATAATCAATAAGGATCTTATTAAAATTGTGAAATTTTAAAAGAGTTTTGTTATTTATATTTTTAAGCTTAAAACCCATTCAAATATTTATTTTGAAATTCTCTCATTACATGGGTGTCCTAAAATGAGATTTTAATAGATTTTTAAAGATTACAAATTCTAATGAATTTCGTAAATTTTACTAGATTTCCAAAGAATACATAAGAACCTGATTAAAAAATGTAGATTTTAAAAGAGTTTGTTTTGTATATTTTTAAACTTAAAATTAATCCAAAATTATTGAAATCCCTTTTGTTATTTATATTTTTAAGCTTAAAACCCATTCAAATATTTATTTTGAAATTCTCTCATTACATGGGTGTCCTAAAATGAGATTTTAATAGATTTTTAAAGATTACAAATTCTAATGAATTTCGTAAATTTTACTAGATTTCCAAAGAATACATAAGAACCTGATTAAAAAATGTAGATTTTAAAAGAGTTTGTTTTGTATATTTTTAAACTTAAAATTAATCCAAAATTATTGAAATCCCTTTATTAATAAAATTCTTATTATCTAGATTTCAAAGGACTTCATTAAAATCCATTAAATGCTCATTTGGGGATATCTAGATTTTAATAAAATTTATCAAAATCTTAGTTGTTGACATTAAAATTTAGATTGGCTTTTAAATATATTTTTTTAATTCCAGTAACCTTATAAATATACAAGTTAAAGTTTTAGTAAAATTCATTAAAACCTCTTGTGAATATAACTCAATTTATAAGGAGTTTTAAAATTCATTAAAATCTCAGTTAAGTACGCCCAAAATTCTAATGAGATTTTTATGAAGTCTTAGAAATATATTAAAATTCACGAAATTCATTAAAATTTATAATCTTTTAAAATTTATTAAAATCTCAATTTACCCTTGTCACTATATATATTTCTCCTTTGGATCTCTTCAAGAAAAATTCATTCAGCTCGTGGATATTGATTTAATTGATTTTCTTGGATATATTTCCATGGCAGAAACTAGCAAAACTCTCACAAATTCACAAGCTATGTCACTCTTTCTTCTCCTTCTCATTATTGTTCCCCTTTCTGCTCGTCGTATCAACTCTCTCCAATCCACCACCAAATTCCACGGCGGAGCAACCACTTCTCATACGGCGCCTGCTGGTGGTCGTACCACAGTGGCGAATAAAAACCGAGAATTTCTGGGAGCTGCACATGGAGTTCCCAGCGGCCCAAATCCTATTGGCAACCGCCACAACCCAAGTCCTAATGGCAACTGATAATCATTATCTTCTTCTACATTATGGCACG